TCTCTCTGACCTCCCTCCTTATTTTATTTTTATTTTTATTATGCATTTATTTATTTTTCTACTTCCTCTGTATCTCACCACTTTCTCTATCTTTTTCCCACTAACCCCCCCTGTCAGCTCCGGCTTTGTGGCGCAATGACATATAACCGATTAATAAAGAGTATACCTCAAGTAACAAGAGGAGCTTAAATCCGAAGCTCCACTTGGCAAAATAAAAGTGTTGGCACAATAAAGCACCCAGACTAACATCCTGCTTGCTAAACTGCCGGACACGACAGGGGGAAAAAAAAAAAAAAGAACATGCATTGGCACATAAATGGACAAGCATAGTAGATAAAAATGGCATGTACAGCAGCACCAGCAGCCATAGTTACAGTGTGTTAGGTTGCGGGTAATCTAAACTTAAGTAGTATGTCTTCAGTCGAGATTTAAAGACTGAGACTGAATCGATATCCCGAACATAGGCTGGAAAACCATTCCACAATATAGGGGCCCTGTTACAGAATGTTTTATCACCCACTGTCACTTTATTTATATGTGGAACCACAAAGAAATATGTATTCTGTGATCTGAGTGGACAACGTGGCTAGTAAACTTTAAGTAATTCTGTCAGGTATGCAAGAGCTAGACCTTTAAGTGTCTTATACGTAACTAGGAGAACTTTGAAGTCAGCTCTAAACCTATCAGGAAGTCAATGCAGGGAACTAAGAATAGGGGTTTATGTGTTCAAACTTCCTGCTCCTGGTGACAATTTGAGCTGCTGCATTTTGAATACGCTACAAGGTATTTATTGTGCAGTGCTGCCAGATATCACAGATACAATACAGATACAAGCCCTTTCTGATCAAAATGTAAGTGAACGAATATGAAGTCCATTTAAACTGTGGTAGCTTAAATCCGACAAGTTACCCCGATAAGCCAGTAACCCCGCTTCGTAGTACAGGCCATAGGATTCCTCCCACGGTCCAAAAGCATGCAGGGCAAGTTGATTGACGAGTCTAAATTGGCCCTGTAATTGTGTGCGTGCGAGTGTGTGTGCCCTGCGGTGTGTTGGCACCAGCCCAGGGTTAATTCCCACCTGCGCCCCTAGTTCCTGGGATAGGCTCCAGTCCCCCCTGTGACCCCGGTTGGGATTAAGTGGTTATGGTGATGGATGGATCCAGCTGACTCTGAGGCAGCAACCATGTTTCCAACAACAAGGTGTTTATATCACTGATGTTGCATATAGAACCTGCCCCATTAAGTCATTAGGTTCAACTCAATAAGCAGCAGCAATTAGGTCCAAACAGGAGGTAAGAACAACTAGAGAAATATGGAAACATGATTTTCTACATTGACATATAAGTAGGGGTCAGAGAGTAAGGCCAGCCAGCATTCCCACAGCAGTTGAGGTTAAGGGCCTTGCTCAATGGCCTAACAATACTATGATTACTCTGTTGCCTGTGCGGTTTGATATGGTGTCAAACCAGACTCACCAAAAACCAAATTTGAATTTATTTACCCAGATTTTAATGTCCTAACCTGAACCTTAATTTAATTTAACTTTAACTTGAATACAAGAACCAGAATTTGAATACGTTTAATTGAACTTCTGTTAAAGAACTCAACAACTTGAATTAAAGAAACAAAATTTGAATTTATTGCCTGAACTTGAATTGTGTGGTAATAAAAATTCAATAAAAATAAAAATTCAAGTTAACAATGTAAAACACAGGCCTTGAAAATTCGATTTGTGAGATTCAGGTGGAGATAATTCAGGTTGAGAAATTCAGGGTGTTTTCCATACCAGCTAGTCCAATGCAGTCTCAACATGGACAAGATATATATAAATTTGAAAGGTAGCACTTGAGTCAGGGGAAAAAAGCCAAACTGTCCTAAACTGGCCTTTTCATGACAAGCAACACTGAGACTTACAGGCAACACTTCCTGAGTGTGAATGATGAAATGTCTTAGTGTAGAGGGGAACTCTGCCTGAAAAAGGGGAAGATAAAAAGGATGTCATAATACCTCGACATTCTGGTCACTGCTCCAGCCTCTGATTGCCTGCGCAGAAATGTGAGATTTTCTCCTGTGAATGTTTTTATAAATACATTTTTCACACCAATTTCGTTTTCAGCCAATGGGGAACACCCTAACCAGGTAACTGTAACTTACATTCTCTAAAGAATAAAGATAAGGACAGTTTGCCTTTAGAAAAAGGTTTTATGTTTATCTGCTAGGTGGGACTTGGCAAGTACTACAATTTGAAGCAAGACATTTTAAGCTACTGTAGCTATTTGACTCAAAAGTTGTGTAAAAATGTACTGTCCTGCTCCAAATTTACTTTAAGTACCGTAGTGGTACATGGCACAGAGTATGTTAGTACGGCACTTCAAAGAGATGTTAATTTATTAAAAAGCATAATTCTAATTACTTTTAACATGATCATTATTTTAAAACACACCATAAGACTTTAATGATTCCTAATAAATTTCTCATGGACTTTGAAGAGGAAGAGTTTAATAAAAATTAAACTTGCATGTAATGCTTAATGTTTATGGTATAAGGCTTTTATGAAAAATGAAATTTATCATTCTAATTTTTCACAATGTCTGTCATTACTCAGTATCGATATCGAAAGAATCGGTCATTACTCCGAGAAATCAACAACTAAAAAGAAGCATTTGTGTGCGTGAAAAGAATCTATCAAGACGGTCATCAAAATTGCAGAAGAGTCCATCAAGGAAGTCATAAGGATTCCATAAGAGTTCATAAGGGAGTGTCATCCGCAAAGGATTCGTGTAAGATTCCAGAATGAATGGATCCAGCTCATTGAACTTTACTACTGATTATGTGGACATCTTTGAAGAAACAGTTGCATGGATCATATTATCAATTGGCCTTCCTGCAATCAGCCTGGCCTGTTATGCACTGTACCGCTTGATCAAGGCTGATCATGTCGCCCCCCTATATGTCATCAACCTCCTCCTTTCAGATCTGGTGCAAATCATCTGCAGAATATACTTTGTTTCTCAGAAGCATTTTGGATTCCTCTCTCCAGAACTTATCAAAGCTCGATTGATTTTTCTGGTCATTGTCCGTTTTGGCTTAGTTGCTAGTCTTGGCTTCATGGTGTGCATCTCCCTGGAGAGGTACCTGGTGGTTGCTCATCCACTTTGGTATCGGTACCGTCGCAACCTGAAGTACACAGTGTTAACGTGTATTTTCATATGGTTGTTTTCTGTGATATATGCAGTGATTGAGTATAACATAGAAGTCTACAGAACCTTCTTAAGTCTTCTAGCAACCCTATTCCTGCTGCCATTTCCTTTTCTTCTCTTCTTCTATGTGAGCTCAAGGAGAGCCTTGAAAAGCACTATTTCAGTTTCTGTTGCAGAAAAGAATCGGATCCTTGGTGCTTTAGCCCTGGTCTTTGGCATCTATGTTGTGCTATATCTGCCCTTTACGTTCATGGCATTTTTTCTGGTAATATCTAACATACGCACTTACACAGTGTATTGCTTTATGGCTGTTGCACGCTCCATGGTGCGTCTCAGTCCCCTTGTGGACCCCTTCCTGTACATTTTCATGAGAAAGGGAGCCAGAGACACACTGGAGGCCTTCCCCTGCTTCAGGAGGGTATTTGGATGGAGCACAACTAGATCTGATGCAGAAACTACATAGTAAGCAAATGTATTCATACATGTATCAGCAAATTGAGATGCCCTATTGTTGAATCTGAATTTTACATTTACCTTTTATCTTGTCTAGTTTATAATACTTTATTGCTTTAAAAACATTCTCTTGTAATATTTTACCCTTGTAATCTATACTTTTCCCACACTCACCAACTTCTACAATTTCTAGACATACTGGATGGATCAGCTGGAAATGTTAAAGCTAATAAATGTGCTTTTACCTGAATGACAATTTGCAGATTGTTGTATTCCTTTCAGTATATTTTAATGTCCATGTCAGAAAATGTCACATTGCTATGTTGCAGTGGTTAGCACTGTTACATCACACCTCTGGGACTTGGGTTCGAGTTTCTGCCGGGTTTCCATGTGTGTGGAGTTTCCATGTTTTCCTTATGTAATCATGGGGTTTTCTCTTGGTTTCTTCAACCACCCCCCACACCCCCCCACAGTCCATAGATGCCCTGACGTTATCGGGAGATCCCAAAGTGTACCCCGTGATGAGTTTGTGCTCTATCCTGGGTTACTCTCTGCCTTGGGCCCACAGTTTCTGGAATAGGTTCTTCTACTATATTGACATGTTAAGACAACATTTCATATAAATGCCCCTTTCTGTGTGTAAAACTGTTGCATAAGCATTGTAAAATTAACATAACTGAACATTTATACTTTCAGTTTGTTTAGAGTAATAGATGACAAACCATGATTCCTGCTAAATCACTGAGATATAAAAAATATGTAGTGTTCTACAGAGCTGTCAGTATGACACTCAAACATTGTTAGCCTGACTTAATCTTTTCACGCAAATTATACAGGGATTTTTGAGGTTTTTCATTGTTACTTTTTGTATCATGTCCAGCTGCGTGTTCAGATCATTTTGGTTTTTTGATGCATCACACTTTTCATTAAATTTTTCTGTTTATTTGTGAAAATCAGCCATTTTCATCAAAGAAACAGTTCCGTTTCACAAAATATTTATTTCATACATAACTTGTCCAATATGAACAGATGAACAAAGAACTGGTGGCAGTGATTTTCCGTAAAGGGCAGCAAAGCAAGTTTTTTTATTTATTTATTTTTTTACAAAAATCAAACCTCTAAGGGCATCTTTCTACTAACTGAAAAAAATTGGTAAGTCACTAAAAGAGGTAAAATGGACTTGCTACACATAACCAGGAGAATGTTCAAAAAGCAAACCACAGACAACTTACTGATGTTGAGTGTATTTTTAATAAATGTTAAGTGAGTAACATACAAATGTAGAAATGTAGTATGTGTTACTAAATGCGGCTAAAATCACACCAAAACATAACAGGCATAAAGTGGTTAACCCTTTCAGGCTCAAATTGAGTTTTTGTTGCTAAAGGACAACCAAGACCTGCAGTGGTACTTTTGAGTAAAAAAAAACTCATAAAATATGTATCTGGGGTAATAAGGTACTGTAGTTAGTTTTTAACTGTTGCAAATCAGCAACGCCTGCCTTGAGAGGGTTAAAAAAAAGGAAAAGCAATTTTGAAGTGCTTCGGTAAAAACAGAAAAAAATGCAGCTTTAACCAGAGGAAAACACACAGCTGGACTGATCACAAACTTGGTGCAAGCTAACCCAAGTCTGCAAACAGCAGTAGTGTGTGCTGTTCAGTCTTGAAACTTGGTCTTCAAGCTCTGAGCATTATGGGAGAATTCGCCCCCCTTCAATTCCATTATGATTTCTTTGTAGCACAACAAAACGTGTATTGGAACTTTCTAGGATAACGAAAGTTTAGGGCATTAATGAGTCCAAACATCATTGCCACTGCAGAAGGCACATTCTCCGGGTCCTGCAGCACAATCACTGCTTTAATGATGAATCTCACATCATCTGGCTCAGATGCTACAGAATCTATATTGGACCAACATGGCGGGGGCCTGCAGGGAGCCATGGGTGAGTCGCAGGCACGTGGCAGAGGCCAAGATTTGGCTAATACACATTTTTAATAAGAAACGTAAAACAAAGAACAGACTCTGAGTATTTTATGCCAACTCATCCTAAATTAAATGCCAGAGAAAAGATGTGTCTTAAGACAACATTTAAAAATTTCCAGGGTCAAGGCAGATCTAAAATGCCAAGGTAGGCTATTCCAAAGTCTAGGGGCAGCCACCCCAAAGGCTCGGTTGCCTCTGGTCCTTAGCCTAGTCTTTGGGACTTTGAGCAGAAGTTGTCAAGACGATGTAAGTGCTTTGGCCGGTCGTGCTTACGCTTACCAGTGAGGAGGCAAGCTGCTGCTTTTTGCACAAACTGCAGACAATGAATTTGCTAATGATCAATTCCAAAATATAATGAATTGCAATAATCTAGCCGGGAGGTTATAAAAGCATGGATAACCCTCTTGAGACCTTTAAGGGGGAGAACTTTTAACCTTAGTAATAAGTCTCAATTGGTAAAAACTTGTTTTTATGACAGAGCTCACCTGATTATCATATTTTAAAGCGCTGTCAAAGGTCACACCTAGGTTCTTAACCTGATGCAATGCTGATGAGCAAAGCTAAGGAGAAAGCGGGCCCAAAAGACCAGAATGGCAATCAATACGCTTATGGCGAAATATAATAATATCGGTCTTATTATCATTGAGGTTGAAAAGATTACTGCTCATCCAAGATTTACCCTCATTCAAGCAATCGAACAATGGCTGAATACAATCATTCCTGTTTAGACTTAGAGGCAGATAAATATGTATGTCATCTGCAAAACAGTGGAAAGCAATATTATATTTTCTGAATATAGACCCCAGTGGGAATAAATACAGTAAAAAAAGTATACAGCCCAGTAACTCGCAGGAGGGCAGTTTCAGTACTGTGATGCGATTTAAAGCCAGACTGAAACTTTTCATAGATTTCATTTGCAGTAAGGAATGATTGTAACTGATTAAAAACCACTTTCTCTAAGATCTTGGATAGGAAAGGTAGCTTAGACATTGGTCTAAAGTTTGACAAAACCGAAGGATCCAAATTTCTCTTCTTGAGAAGAGGTTGTACTATAGCGTGTTTAAAGGCAGATGGAACAACCATTGAACTGAGACTGGCATTTATCAAAGCAAGTACAATTGGCCCAACGGTATCAAAAACATCTTTAAGGAGGCGAGAAGGAATACCATCAAAGGAATAGTATGTAGGCCGCAGCCGTTTTACTATGCCTGAAACTGACGAGAAGGATACAGGCTCAATCCGATTAAAGACAGAAGAGCTCAGATAATGAGTAGAATGCGCAAAATCAGTGGAGCCAGCGATGATAGCTTTTGGGCGAAGAGAAGAGATTTTGTCAATAAAAAAGTTTAAAAATGAATCGCAAAGGATGGATCATGGCACCACAGGAGAGTTATTAACTGGGTTTACAAGGGAGTTAAAATGAATAAACAGAACCTGAGGCTCATGAACATTAGAAATGAGAGAAGACATATATTCCATCTTAACGGCTCTCTGGTACTCCGAAAGGTGTTCGCGTAAAATTAGTTTAAAAATGTGAAGACAATTTTTTTTTTTTGACAAGCACATTGGAGGGCATGGATAGATTCATTTTGCATTGGCTCAGTAAGCGCTTTAGTGCGCTTAGATCTAAAGGGAACAACGGAATCAAAATAGTTTAAAACCTCCTCGGCACCCAAGGCAAGATCGCCTGCCATTACATCACACACATTCAATTCATTAAACAAGTTACAAAACAGTGGTGCTGTTCCAGGGGTTATCATGCGAATGTGATGTGCAGGGACAGAGGTTTTGTCTTTCAAATAAAGGATCGAAATGGTGAAAAGTACAGGCAAATGATCAGAAATACAAGCTGAATCACAGATATCATTTACAGTTACAGGTAGTCCACATGACAAAACAAGGTCTAAAGTGTGCCCTTTTCATGCGTCGTGCCAGTCACAGACTGAACAATACTAAAAGAGGCAATAAAATCAAAAAAGAAAAAATCATTAACCATTGGCTTGGACTCACAGCAAACACGAATGTTAAAATCACCAGCAATTTAAAACTGATCATACTTTACAGTAACCTCCGATAAAAAAAAAGAAATAAAAACAGTAAAATCCACAATAAAATCCTTATTGAATTTAGGACAGCGATACTGTATACAATACAAACATAATGGTAGAGGACAGACTCAGTTCAGTTCAAACTGGAATTCGTGTGAAAGAGGATTAACTGGCACTGGAAGCTGGTTTTATACAGTGGTAAAGTTGGTTTTATATTGGATATTCGCTTGATATTCAGCTTTGCCTCCCCTATATCTTTGAAACAACACCAGCAAAAATCACTAAAGTTACATTTTCTGTTTCAGGAGAAAATACAGATTGTACTACAACATTGTATGGTGGCTGATATGTTCATTTTTTATTGTACTGATGCTGCATTTTCCGTGAAACAAATAAGCCAGAGTTGAAGTGCAGCCCTTTGCTAGAGACCGTCTACAAAGTGCATTCAGTACAAACAGGGGAACCAAGCATTACAACTGGAGCATCTCTGCTAAGATATTCTAATACAAAATCTGTGAAGTTCTTCCAAAAAGACACTATGAAGAACAAATTATTTCAGTTGCCTTTTAAAGTATAATACATTAAATCCAAAAAGAGATACAATAACTTCACAAACATACACATACATATTCAAGGCCTTCTCTGTTTTAATTGTAACCTCAACTAGGGGGGAGAGGAGGCACTAAAAATGCCTGAGTGTTCACCAAATGAACAATGAAATGGCGACTGTGTGCAGAACATAACTCACTTTAATAAAACAAACCAAACCAAAGCAGAAGGTGGCGTGAATATGTATGTTCCACTCTTGGACTACAGTTTGAGTCCCTGCTGTGACTCTGTGGAATTTGCATGGTCTCCCCATTTCATCATGGGGTTTCCTCGGGGGACTCCGGTTTTCCCCCACAGTCCAAAAACAAGGCTAATTGGAGTTACCAAATTGCACGTAGGTGTGCCTGTGTGACTGAATATGATAATAATAATAATAATACATTTTATTTATAAAGCGCTTTTCAGGACACTCAAAGACGCTTCACAGCACAATAGAATAAAAGAACACACAATTTACAACATAAAATCAAACATTAAAAGCAATTTTAAACAGGTGAGTTTTGAGTTCCGTTTTAAAAGTAGGGAGGTCAGAGCAGTCGCGGAGGGATTTGGGCAGTGAGTTCCAGAGGGTGGGGGCAGCGATGGAGAAGGCTCTGTCCCCCCAGGTTCGGAGCTT